TTAAACAAATATTTCTTAGTATTTAAAATGATTTGTTTGTATTTAATAAATCTGATATTCATTTATTAAATAATAATAAATCTTTTTAAATACCAAGAAATATTTGTTAAGGACTAAAAAATGGTTTCTAATAAATAATTTGTTAAATATTAACAAATTTTTTAACTATAAACAAATTCTTCTATCAGTGTACTGTGAAAATAAATAATGAAATCAATGACGGTCTAAATAAGTAAATTCTGTAACTATTTCTGATGGAAAATCAATAGAAATAATTAACTTCCCTGAAAGGATTAAAACTGTCTTCAAGTTTTCCATTTCCAGAGTCTTAACCAAAATCAGCTTACTTAATTTTTATGCTTGATGAACCTTTCAATAAAATTTAGGACTCAAAAACACCTCGACTGCTAGTCGACGCATCATAAATAACCCAAAGCCAGTACAGAGAGCACAGAACTGTTGGAGCAACCACAGGGTGGTAAGCTCTTCTCTTCTCTACTCTTATACACTCACTGCACCTTACCTGAAGTTAGTATTAGCTCGTAACTTATATATACCATCATACCTTCCTTATTCTTTCTTCTCTCTACGTCTAGAAGAACTTGTGGTGCTGCTGTGGATACTTCTACTTGGTCTTGCTAACTAAAGGTGGGTGCACCTCTCACATGTGTGTCTGGTACATGTATACGAATCCTTAGGTGTATCCCCAGGACTACATAATACCCTTCCTAGCTGGTATCTTTCTCTCTTTCTCTTATTCTTTATCTCCCTCAACGGAGTGTTTTACTCATTCTACTTATTCGGTATAAAAGTCACCTCGTGAAGGTAAAACCTTCGGTAGTAAAGACACCAGCACACCACCTCAACCATTATTGTTTCTTTCTTCTTCTTCTACTCTTATTTTCAGTCCTTTTGCCCGTTTTCTGCTTCCGCAAACGACAGCCCGCTTATTTATACCCAAAGGTTTTACTTTGGATCGCACACAGGAGCGAGAAACTCCAAGAGAGCACACTTTTTTAAAATAAAAAACAAAGTTAAAATAACCCATGCACAAGCCCATCCTCGATAAAAAATATTCAACTAAAATAAGACCTGTACTCAAGTAAAGTATTTACTTTTATTTTCCCTTAAACGCTCGAAGAACCAGACCAACGTATCTTTATTTTTTGGCGTATGCTAATATAACCAAACAGTGGGAAATTCTCACATAAGAATTGCACGAGAATGAAGAACGAAGATTGAAGCTTGAGGATTCAAGAGATCAATGATCAAATGTGTAACGAAAGATAGCGACATTGAATTGAAAAATGGATTTCACATTTGTGAAATGGATTAGTATTAGTATATGTGAATAAGGGAAGGGAAGAATAAGTTGTGAGTACGCTGTAAGAGAATGAGATAAATAAACAGAGACAATTCCGTTAGTGCATCACCTGTCACATGAACCGGATGGATCACATGCAACAGGTCTATATAGAATACTCAATTGACGTCGACTGATACTTTGAGACACTGACTTTTCTTATTCTTATAAGTTTTGTTACATCTTACGTCTTGCAGTTTGCAGTAAGAAGTAGTAAGAATAGATGTCGGTGTGCATCGATCGAGTCTTTCGTTTTGTTTTGTCGTACTGTGCATAACAGCCAGTACAGTAGGAGGAAGAGTAGAGAGTCTATCACTATACGCTATACGCGGCTGGTTTATCTCTGCTCGGGGTACAACAGAGCTACCCATGTCGAGCTTTATCTCTTTGTACTACTTCAATGTACGCCACCGCGGCTCTGATGGGTCGTGTGTCCGTCAATGGCACACATGTCTGCCACGCGCCGACTCTGCCTACTCGGTATAAATTTATATGCTCTGACTTTTTTTTATTTTCATTTTTGTAAGACTAATTTTTGTATTAAGGGTTTGTACGCACTAATTTTTTAAAAAATGATTTTTTGGTTTAAGAATTATTTTCTTGAAAAATAAATTTTATCGAATTAAATATTTAAATATCTGGCAGTAAATGTTGTAAATAAAGTTTCTAGTGTGTATTTTTAGTGTGTATAAATATTAAGAGCCTCGACTCGATGAGTGGTAAAATAATTTACGACTTCCCACAATTTCTATTATCCTCAAAAAAAATATTAATACCCAAAAGAAAAAAAAGATGTAAGGTGGAATAAATATGATTTAGGACAGGTGATTTATTTATACAGGTATCGGTTGTGCGTAAGCGCAGTAAGCAAAAACCTGTAGTACTATACGCTGAACGCTCTTCATGATTTATTCGGGAACAAAGAAGCTAAGTTGGTGGTGACTTGCGCATCGCTACCGGGTGTGTTAAAGTAACACGCGATGACACCTACAAGCTTTGTTGCTACTCGTGATTCACTTTAAATTCGCATCGCGAGACTCAAGTCGATGTATTTCTCCCCGTACCGGCCATTTTTTCTACTCTTGTTCCCTTATTTTTGTTTATACCTCACACCTCTAGATTTAAAGTTATTCATCATTGCAATTATTATTTCTGTCGTTCACTGATAAAAAAATTAATTTAATTTAAGTGAAAAAGTCGTGAACAAAAAAACAATTTTTAAGAATTTTTTTTGATTTGAATTAAACAGAATAATTCTTAAACTAGAAGATTTTTCTTGGTTTAAGTAAATTTGTTTAATAATTTTAAAATTATAACTAGTAATCTTGCAGTCACTATGTGATAAATATAAATAATCAAAATTTTGCTTTATTAAATAATAACTTTTGTTAAATTGCACTGTACTTTCTTAAATATTGACGTTTTTAAAGATAATAAGCTCATCATGTCGTTACACTCATCAAGACCTTTCATTTGAGTACCCACATGGCATTTTTCATATATTTTATATATATAGTATTTGTTAAATATATAAATATATAAAATATATGAGAAAATGATGTGGATACTTAAATGAAAGGTCTTGATGACTATAACATCGGAATGAGCTTATATCTTTAAAAATTTCAATAGTTCACAAGATACAAGATCATTTCTTAATTATATATCTAAAGATTAGATGATAACTATTATATTTTGAGATAATAACTGTTACCATCTCTCAATTATTCGTATTATAAATATTTTTTTGGAGATTATAAAGTTTATAATAAAATTTACAATTGTAAATTTAATTATACGGTTGGTAGATACTTTAATTTTAAATTAAAAAAACTCTACAATAATTAGATAATAATTTCAATTATTCATGGTTGAAGACATTTTTTCTTAGATCAAGTTAATTTTTTTATCAGTGTTGTGATTTTTTGTCATGATCATCATCATAAATCTTGCTGATAAAATAGCCTAGATGAATACGGAAGAGCATTAGTCCTTAAATCGCAGTAGTAGGCGATATTTATTTGGACAGAGGGCGAGTCAGAGAAATAAAATAAAATAGATGTGCCATCTATGTATTTTTTTGGTCTTGAAAAAATAAATAAAGTTGGGCTTAGTTGTGGCAGTGCGTTTGCCGGTAAGCAAAAGCGAAGCCGAACAAATAAATGCTGGAAAACAGGAACAAAACCGACATTATGTGGCATTAACATACAAAGTATGTCAGCGCCCATGGTCTCGAGAGGCATAACATAGTATCGTTCGCATACTACGTTACCTCGCCCTGCTGCTCCTGCTCCTGCTCCTGGCATCACCGACCAAAGACCGACTATAAGTATAAGTATAAGTATGAGACCAAGACCGAGACCAACATCAGAAGCACCAACAGTTTATTCCAACCTCGCCAAGACTAAGGACTAAAGACTAAGGACTAAGACTCGAAACAACAACTGAGAACTGATTCTTTTATTCCTCGGTATTAAGTCTACTTGTTTCAGGGTCTATAAGGCTATAATGAACAATAAAATTCTAAATAGGATGCTTTAACGATTATATTATATTATTAAGAGAAAATTCTCTGTCCAAGAAATACCAGCAAAGATATATATCAGGGTGGCGCAAAAGAACCGACTAAATTTTATTTTTTCAAGTCTTACACTGAAAAAAAAAATTCTTGACTGGAGTGTAAATTTTTTTGGCTCAAAAAAATATTAAAGAAGATTGAAAATTTCTTGAATGAAGTCAAAGTTTCTCGTGCCAAGAAAATTTGTTCTTGCTTCAAAGTAATTTTTGTTTTTCTTTAAATTTTCTCGGCGCAAGAAATTTGTTTTTTGTGTGTATGTAAAAATATTTTTTTAAAGTCCTCTTTAAAAATCAGCTGAAAAAAATGTTATTACAATGAAATCAGCAGATTTTTAAACATTTTTGGATTTTTATTCATTGATTTAAATAGAACTAAAATAATATTTTTCGAAAAATGCATTTTTTATCTTTTTTATAATGCTTTGTGCATTAAAAAAAAATCTCGAAAATATTTATTTGGCATTTTTAAAAATTCAAGAAGCCTTAAGCAACTTTAAAAAGAAAATATTACGACTTTAAATTGTAAGAATGTACATAATATAATGACGAGAAAAAAAGATTATAAGCAAAAAAAAACAATTTAATTTTTTAAATGTTTAAAAATTTTTTATCAAGCTGATTTTTTGGACTGAATTTTTAAAGCATGATAAATTTCCATAGGAGTCGGTTTTTTGCATCACCATAATTTGTATCTATGTTTTAAAGAGTAATTAATAAAAAAAATTTACAATTACCTCTTAGTAGATAAGTTGATTCAAGGGAAAATTTTATGCTTGATAATTTATCTATTATATTTTGTAATTAATCGTTAAATTACTTGAATTTCGAAAGACCCTCTAAAAATTAGTTAAAGGAAGTGATTTTAGCTTCACTTTATGGTCATCGACGATCAAATTATTTATCTATTCATTGATAGTGTTATCTTTCGAACAAAATTTTAAGTAATAACTTTTAATATTAACGCAATCCTGAATAATGTATTGAACTCATGAAAATCTGTATAATAATCAAATCCTTATCTCCTTATCGTATAATGACAGTTCCCACTAGATAAAGTTTAATGACAGATTCTTCCCTATATATTGAACTTTATCTAACGAAAAAAACCCACTCGTCTGTTAGCATCTACATAAAAAAGATAAACTTTTCAATATTTAATTTTTTTATTAACAAAAAAATGGCTAACTCAAAGCTACTTTGTACTTTAATTTGGACCTTTTTGGCTCTGGTAAGTATTTACCGTAATAATAATAATAATTTAAGGATAATCAATCCAATATTAATTTATAAACGTTATTATTGTCAATAGAACGGAGTAAATTCACATCCAACTGACACCAACAAAGATACTCTCCTCAAAGCATACTTTCATGATCTTTATGAACTGTTTCGTACATCTTGGGCAGAATTGGATTTTTTGGATGACCGGTTGAGTAAAAATCCAAACATTACAATACTCGAATTGCAAGACAGCTGGGATGATTCTTATGTAAGTGATCAAACTAAAATTGCTTTTGAATTTATGAGCTAGTTACTTATAAGTATTTTTATTTTAAGGGCTCATCCTATGGCGAAAGTTCTTCAGTAATGGTAAGTTCAAATTATTTTTTTTTTTTATAAAAAAAATCAATTCTAGAATACAGAAAAAAAATATTTTTATGAAACAATTATTGTCTTGGGTTAAATAAAAATTTAAGCTAATTGTAAGAAATCTTTGCTGAGGCAATAATTTTTTTTTCATCCTATATTTTGATTTTTATCATGAATTTTTTATGATACTGAAATCAGCAATGAACAATTTTTTGATTTTTTTCATTAATTAAATTAAAACTAAAAAAATATTCTTAAAAAATTGCACTTTAAGTGTTTCAAATCTCTTACAAGTAAAATTTTTCTAAAAATTATTTTTTCAATAAGAAAAATCATAAAAATTGTCAGATGTCTGCTAAATTCATTTTTATAATTTTTTTAGTTTAAATAAAATTTTTTTTCTGTGTAAAATAAAAATTAATAATAGTCTATAGTTTTTGTAATTATTGAACTTTTTAATTTTTTTCAGAGAACTATGACTCATCATTTACACACATTGGAAAAAAATGCTCGAGAATTTAGAAAAAAATTGGATTACATCGCGAAAAAATCGTCTGAAAATGCCGATTCTAAAATTAAAGAATTACTCGAGTCCAAATTGTGAAAAAAAGGATCTTTTTAAATATAAAATGTAAAATAATATTTTTTATAGATAATTTTAAGTAAAAATTGTTATATTTTTTGTTACTAAAAAATGTTTTGAAATAAAACTATTGAAAATAATTATTATATTTTAATTATTAACTAAATACTCTGTATCTGATAAGAAAACAAATGTATTATAACAACCCAATTTAAAATTACCATATCAAAGTGATAATTTATGTTGGTGAATATTAAAACCAGGTTACTTATTAATCAGTTTCGATGATTAATAAAACACATCAAATTTAGCTAAATTATTTTCATTAATTTCTGATATTATAAATAAAAGTGTGTCTTTTTCTTGCACTCGCACTTGGTGCGGCTCTACGCAAAGACTCACAAGAACGGAGGCCTACTGCGTGAGGGAAGACAGTTGAGTAAGAAAGGGATAAAGTAAGCTGCAGAAAACCACTACTACTTTTACTACTACTATACTACTTCTACTGGTACTTTTGCAGCAAACCGATCTCCAGTCGGTGAGCGACCAACAAAACGAAAAATTTAAATCCGCCAGTTCAAGTCGTATGTACTCGACCAGACATGTATATGTACAAGGATCAACATATACACTGACCGAATACGAAGGGATTCTCGTGTCTTTCTGCCTAGTCGCTCCCGAGCGGCTACTGCTAGCGAAAGGACACCGAAAAAAATGAAAAATACGGGCGGATAAAAAGTCGGGCGATCAAATATATTTTTTTCTACTTTATCCTTTTTTATTTTTTTAATTAAAAATTATTTTAATATTTAGCCATCGGATATTTTATTACGAAATCATTTTTGATTTTTTTGCTCTTTATTTAAAAAATCATTTCTTAGTATTTAAGAAATATTTTTTATTATTTAAGAAATCGACGTTCTAATTAGCAAATTGTCTAACTCCATTTTAGAGAATCTTCCATTTGTATGAAAAAATAATTAGTTCAAAATTTATTATCATTTTAAAAAACAATTTAATATCTAATAAAAGTATAGTTTTTTTGTTTAGATCATTCTAATAATTTATAATTGGACTATTGCTACATCAAAATGTTAAAAATCAGTCTCTAAAAAATAATGAGTTAGACCAATTGCTTATTAGAGCGTCGAAATGATTTTTTTACATTTTATAAATTATTTCTTTCTAGTTGATAAACAATTTTTAATGTTAAACAATCATTTCTTGATAGCTAATGATTATATATGTATAGATTATACCTTTCAATACGTTGAGCAGTTAATATTAAATTTCAATATATAATTATTAACTATCAAAAAATTATTGTTTAATATTAAAATTGTTTATTGACTAGAAAAAAATTATTTATTAAATAAGAAGTTATTTTTTAAATATTAAGAAATATTTCTTAAATACTGTTCGTTAAGAAATGATTTCTTAAATACTAAGAAATCCTTCTATCAGTGTGTTAATAAATTTGTTAATTTTAAAAATATACCGGTGTCTACTTTCACTATAAGTTTTTTTTTTTTTTTTTTTTGATGGACAGTATCAAAAGATCCTAAAGAAGTGAAAGATGTGAAGAAAAAATGTCAATCGGATAACAGATGCTCGGGTTATACCATCATTCTCGAATCGCGGATGAATTTTAAATTAGTTCGAATCTATTCGTTTGATTTGCATCCACTGATGGATTTATTTTTATTCACTCGCGAATTTATATTCCGCAAGCCGTTAAACCAGTCTGTGCTCATAAATAACGAAAATAGATGAAAATAAAAATAAATTTACAATCTATATAATATAAAAAAAACGACTGTTCATTTACTTATGTTATTCAGACTATAAATAATCCCGTAATTTTAATTTTTAATTATGTTGACCTCCATTAAAGTATGTTGATTTTCAATAAATACACTTTGCATTTGATTGTTTTATTTTTACACTTTCTACAATTAAAAATATAATATACAGAATTTTTATGAAAAATATTACATATAATACTAAATTAATAGGCGCGCAGTAGCCTATCGGATGCGGCCCTTGCTACCAAAGCATTGGACCGGGTTCGAGTCCGGCGTACACCAATGAATATTTTCAATATTTAAGTGTATTATTCTGCTCAGCCCAAGAAATACAAACGAGTTCCAATCTCAAAAGTTTACCCCCTACCGTAGTCGCTCATGACCTCTAAATTAATAATACATTTTTCAATTCATTTTAATTTACTGAAATAATAGCATTAAATGCTACAAAAGTGTGGCAAAAATTGAATTTTTAATAATAAAAAAATATAAATGTAATAAAAATTTTTTATATACTGAAAAATGCATTAATTATTTAGTAATGTTAACAAAATATCCTTTTGAAGAAAGTACACCGCGGCATTTTATGTGGACCTGGTACTTGGCGACCCAATTTAATTTCGCCTCGTCGCCAAACAACTCCACGCAAGAATCTTTGTTTAATATATCTGTAATTAAAATAATAATAAATTGAAATTTTTAATTTTAAGGAATTCAAGATCAAATGTTATTAATTATTAAAGTTTGACAGCTTTGATCATAAGTAGCGAGTCGTAAGTGGTAAGTAGTGATAAATGACAATGATAAGGCTGTGACTCAAACATGTTGATAAACTAATTGAATAATTTGTACTTACGATAAGGATCGTTGTGCGTTAATAATTGAATTTGATTTTGTTGCGTAAACTCTTGAAGAACAGGTGGAACTACACAGCACATTGCTAGATTTATTTGTACAATTGTCGGTCGTATCTGTAATGATAATTTTTAATTTATTTAATTTTGCTTTATTATTATCACTTAAAATTATGTAACTGAAGAATTTAAAGTTAAATATTACTTTTGCCCACTGGTACAGTTTTATAAAAACTCCGGTATCCACATTGCTGAGTCCAACTGATGTCAAGGTTCCGTTTTGGATGTATTTTTCCAATACGGGCCAGAGTTTTTGTAGAGACTCTAATTCTTTTCCAGAATTTTGAGCTTCGCCGTAGGCAAGAATCAACGTTCCAATGCTGTTTATATGCAGTTCCTTCAACACTGTAATTAATTTGATTTATTTAGTTTTTCCTGATAAATAAATAAATTATTATTTTATTAATCTCAATACTTGGGTTTAAATTTATTACAGGATTTAAAAAATAAAATGATCTGTCTCTAGATACATAATTCAGAAATTATCTTGTATCTTGAAAACTAGTGATATTTTTAAAGAAATAAGCTCATCCTGATGTTTTACTCATCGAGACCTTTCTTTTGAGTACCCACATCAATTTTTCATATATTTTATATATTTATATATTCCACAAATATCATATATATGAAATATATGAAAAATTGATGTGGGTACTCAAATAGAAAGGTCTCGATGAGTGTAACATCAGGATGAGCTTATATCTTTAAAAACGACAATCATTAAGAAATGACATTGTATCTTGTCAACTAATGATATTTTTAAAGATATAAGCTCATCTCGATGTTAGGCGACTGCTTGGCCGAGCGGTTTAAGTCTTAAACTGCCGCACAGCAGTCGCTCAGGCGTGGGTTCGAGCCCTGGCAATTGCAATTTTTCTTCTGCGATTTCCGGGGCTTGCTCCCTTGCCGACTGTACCTTGACCAGGTTTCTGTGGTTTTTCCTCGGTCATTGTGCCCCTAAAATAAGCGGGGCACAAGCAAATGCGGGTACAGACTGTAAGCCGGCCACAGCCGCAAAAACGGAGGGTCCTGTTACAGGACTATATAGGAGGAATAGCTACAGGAGGAAATAGCTACAAGAGTAGCTTGGAGGGGGCCTGGTACTGCGAAGTAATGCTAACGCGGTCCCGCAGTACCAGGTACAAGAGAGGGGAGGGTTTTAGTGAGTAAAAATCTCACACTACCGGCAACCAATATCTCCAAAATCTAGCCGGTGTCTTATGAAGATTTCCCTCCTCTCGCCCAAAAAAAAAAA